CTACCGCGAAATCAGTTCCGAATACGAAAAGTGTTTCGACGTTTCCCTGTTCACACGAGCCAAAGTGAATTATGAGATTTCAGCGTCTGCAGATAATTTTCATGGCAAGGAACAGTGAAATCGTTCTGATAGCATGAAGTCAAAATCAATATGTAGTTTGATGCAACGTAATTCGAATAAAAAATTAAAAATGCAGGGTTACTGAAGATTAGAAGCAATAAACAAAAATACAACTTATTGGAAAAACTTGGAATTCAATATCATTCAAATTTGATGACGGGATTTATTAATATTAACTCTTTGCACTGGAGGCCTTTTGCGCTCGGGCGAACCAGCAACTCGAGACGATTTCGGCTATATTAGAGAAGAACTTTAGGGGTACTTCAAATCATTTTATAAGCCGGCCTACTTTCAATTAAGACCTCGGCTAATTGCTGCTGCGAGTGGTTTCGCGTTTCATCTTTACGAATTTGCGCGCATCTTGCATTTCCGACTATTTCTGTAGCATTGGGACCACAGCCGACCGACGAGAGTCCGTGGAATTATGTAAAAGAAGCAATTGTTGCTGATTCGCCTAGTTTATATAAACTAGCGTTGTCCCCGCGAAATGCAGTCCGCGAGAGCTCGTTTCGTGCGCGTTTCGTAGGCGTCTCGTGGAGATAAATTTTCCGACGAGGTACACCGAGGCTCGAGACAATTCGACGTTCTCTTCAGAGAAAATTCGATCGATCTCATTACCGTGACACGTATTACGATTTTACATAATTCTCAGCAAAAAATGCGGGCAGCAAAATTGCAACGGTAGAAAAACTAGTGATTGAAAGAAATCCATGAACCGGATAAACCCGATCGGAGATCGTGGAGTGATCGTAGAAGGGATGACAACTACAAATTGAATCATTTAAACGGGTTCGTGATCGTTCCGGGAAGCCCGATTGGTTTCGGTGCGCGTGGTCAAGAAAATGCCTCGGGTGGCAACGGTTCGAGAGAGTGCAAATCGATTCCACCAGATCCTCTCTACCGGGAACCGAAGGGGGGGTTGGGAGGAAACGCGGAGAAGCAGCTAGTTACTCTCGGTTGTCGTTATTCGAAAAAAGACTCCGCGCAATCTAAAATAAGTCGCATAATTTATGAAAGCAGCTTTCGCGTAATCCTTTGCTACAGTGCAATCCGTGATTTGTTTCTGTTTCCATCGGAAACCCGTTTCATTCGTTCCAGACGCAATTCTTACCCTGTGAAATAATTATTCTGCTCGCGAGACTCCCTCGTCAAAAAAGCAAAGGGATCACCTCCTTGTTTACTCGCCAGACAGCTCGCCTCGAATTCGTTTTAAGGGGTAGAGTCTGGTAGCAGCGCGATGAGGCAGACAGTCGATATTACCCAGAAAATTAGACAAAAATATGGATTTACGGAAATACAGTTTTCGTTCTTATGTGAGAATATTTTTTCGGTCGTCAGGTATTTTTTAGGTAGAAAGGGGAAAATCAAATCTGACGCGTTCTGGTCATTATTTAATCAAAATATGCTGATATTTATGATATATGTATATACAGGGTGTTTGCGAAATCGTGGTACAAGGGAATGATTCATCATATAAAATCTAATCGAAAAC